GGCGGGGAAGCTTTTGACATCACTGAGCTATTATGCCCATATAGCCATTTTAGGTCAATGACATTGATCTGATATGACAAAGGCATAGCTCTGCTCAAGACTTGCCCCTCCTGTATATGGACAATTTTGGTGGCAACCATTGTAGTCCATTTCCACGCTCCATCAGAAATATGAAAATAAGTGTCAGTGGAACTCCACTATTAGCTCCTCTTGCCGTATTTATTATTTGTCCACAAAGTGACAGCATATACCAATGTCTTCACCTGGGAACCAACCTTCCCCTGTCCTTGTGAACAAGCCAGGAGTGGTGAAAAGCATCAAGAAAGGTTGGTTTACAGGTGGAGACGTTGTTGTATGCAGTCACTTGGTCAACAACTAATACATATGGCAAGAGGATCTCTAAGTGACGTACGGCTGATACATTCTTTGATATTGACCTGATATGGCCATGTGGTCATATTAGGTCAATGATGTCTAAAGCATCCCCTGCCCGCAGCTCATTGGCCTGGTACTGACAGCTGACTTCCAGCTCATCCAAACCCAAGATCCTCTTCAATTTCCAATAAAAACATAATCTGGCTTCAAAGCTACATTGCACTAGTACCATCAGTCTAGTGGTACAGACATATCCTGCTGGGCCGGGGTCAAATACCCATCTTGCCCTCTTGTTAAAATAGCTCTAAATACAGATGATTATTATTTCAGATGAAAAACTGAATGTCTATATATAGGATTTCATGGTGCCGCGTATGAAGAGAGCTGGGATGTATCTGATTAATCTGATTACAGACTCAGCATCTGGCTGTAGGATGTTGTGTAGGAGGACATATTGCAGCGTTCAGTACGAAGGTTGAGCACTCATGTCTGTTTTTGGAAACTGCCTCGTCATTCATGGAAGATTATTCCGTGTTTACAAAAATCTCTTCAACAATAACAGAAATAAGTGAATTATTAGAACAGAGTGGGACATGATCACATTGTGTTTATAATGCAAGCTTTACTAGTCCTTTTCACGGTTTTTTTTTTTTTAGCAGTAGTAGAGTGTTGTACTATGTTACCCAGCGATTAATGCAGAAAGTGTGGAGTTTAGGTGAAACTCTTTTTCGATAATTTGGGTTATTAACCACTTCAAGTCCGGACACTTTCCCCCCCTTCCTGTCCAGGTCGATTTTCAGCTTTCAGTGCTAGCACACTTTGCGCGGTCATGCAACAATTGCGCGGTCATGCAACACTGTACCCAAATGAGACAGATAAAACTTTATTTTGGTGGTATTTATTCACTACTGGGATTTTTATTTTTTTGCTATATAAATGAAAAAGTCAAAACATTTTGAAAAAAAAGTGTTTTTCTTATAAAATTTTGCAAATAAATAATCTTTCTTTATAAATCTTGGCTAAAATGTATTCAACTTTTTAGTAAAAAAAAAATAACCCAAATTAGTTTATAACAAAAAAATTATAATTTTTCTAAATTTTATTTTAATTTTAATTTTTTTTTTTTATATTATTATTTGTTTTTTTTTTTAACATACTGTCACCCTAGCAGTACAGTGTCACCATAGTGGGGGGGGGGGGGGTTACGCAACACTCCGCCACTCCAGTGGCAGTGCCTTTGCAGCATAATGGGGAATGGTTGGGTGACTGTAGAAGTGTGGCTCAGCCACAAATGTTTAATGTCCCTCAAGCACAAGTGTAAATAAGAACTAATAGGAAGCATCTCCCTGTACTTGTGTGATCGTCATCTTTACCATGATCACAATCAAAATTAGAAAGGAAAAACAGCCCCTCTCTGCTCCCAGCCCCTCTCTGCTCCCCGGCCTCTTGCGCCCCTCTGGTGAACTTCTGGGGCCTAGGAGAAATATAATTAATGTTACATCAGGGCCACCTGTACTGCCCTATCAGGGGTTTTGGCCGTGGCTGCACCCTAGGCAGCTATGGGCCCTAGGTAGCTGCATAGTTTGCCTAGTGGTAGCACCAGCCCTGACTGGCAGCCAGATATCTGCTAGAACATTTGGGGATCACAGTGTGAACAAGCAATATCATGACCCCTCCTAGGGAAGTGCTCCTTTGCCACTGTGGTATGTAAATGCAGGGTAGATTTGATGTAAATCAAACTGATTTAAATCACGATTTAAATCACTAGTCAGTAAGGCTTGATTTAAATCCTAGTTTTCTACATAAAGACTAATTCTTGCTGGTATAACTTTAATATGCAAGTAGATGAAGATTTTTAGAATAACTTTTCATATTAGTTTTTTTATCCCCAGTTTAATAGGTTAATCATTCATATTTGGACAACTTTTCTGTTGTACTTAGGAAGGAGAAAAATAATCATTACCTTAATAATAACAATTTAAATAGATTTATTCAACTGAAACAATAACATTCCAGCATATGTGATTTGCTTAAACATCCATGTTTGATAACTAATTTGGCTAAACAAAATATATATATTTGAAGAAACTTAGACTGTCAGCCCCTTCCTCCTCACACTTAGTTTCACTTTCTTCTTGTGCATATCTATTCCACTCCAAACAATCAGAAAAATATTGTTTCTATTCTATTCACTGAACTTCTTGAAACTTAGCACTGAAGGGGTTGATTCTGTATTCATAGGTTTGTAGAAGTTAGGATGAAGGTCTTTTTCTTAACTCTGTTCATGTTATAACATTTTTGCTGTGAAGAAGAGGCATGTGATCTCCGCTGAGTCAAATTCAGTTTTGAGAACTGCAAAAGTAAACCAAGCATCTGTGATAATATCTTGTAGGCAGAGAAACTGCCCAATAATCTTACAAAAACCTCTGGAAGAGCATGACATTGTGAATGGATTCATGGAATTTACCAAAAAATTAAACATATACAGCCTTATTCTACATGATTAAAAAACTAATCTTTATTTCCTGATGGAATAACCTTTGGATGGTAATATATTTTCCTCAAAAAGCATTTTATTCAAAAAAAATCCGATTTCAATAAAAAAAATCCGATTTAAATAAAAAAAAATCCGGTTTAAATAAAAAAAATCCGATTTTTTGATTTTTTTTTTTTTTAAAAAATCATTGATTTTATCCACCCTGTGTAAATGTCTGTAACATTACTATTACAAAGTGTCTTGTGGTTAAACAGCGCGTTCATCTGCCTGAAAAAGTGTATGACCTGCAACATGTGTGGTGCAATTGCTGTAAATTACCTGTCACGGTCCGAGGTCAGGCTTGGAGACCAGTAGGTAGAGCTGTAGAAAGGTTCACACTGACCAACAGAATAACTACACAAGGAGGTCACCCTGGCAGAAGACGTGGGCTCACCTGAGGCTAGGAGAATAGGAACTAACTGGTCTTCACCAGAGCTCCTGATGGTGGAGATGGGTTTCACTACATGAAAAAGCCAGGTTGCAGTCTTCTGAATTGCCCCACCAGGAGGTGAGCAGGCTGGGATCCAGTAACAGATGGACTAACTAGGGATGAAGCGTAGTCAGTAAACAAGCCAGAGGTTGGTACAAAGTGGTCGCAGGCTTCGATCAAGTGGAAGCATAGTCAAGGAACAAGCCAGAGGTTGGTATAAAGTGGTTGCAGGTTGGGATCAACTGGAAGCATAGTCAAGGAACAAACCAGAGATTGGTATAAAGTGGTTGCAGGTTGGGATCAAGTGGAAGCATAGTCAAGGAACAAGCCAGAGGTTGGTATAAAGTGGTTGCAGGTTGGGATCAAGTGGAAGCATAGTCAAGGAACAAGCCAGAGGTTGGTATAAAGTGGTTGCAGGTTGGGATCAAGTAGAAGCATAGTCAAGGAACAAGCCAGAGGTTGGTATAAAGTGGTTGGAGGTTGGGATCAAGTGGAAGCATAGTCAAGGCACAAGCCAGAGGTTGGTACCAGTGGTAGCAAAAATAAGGACAGCTGCAGCCATGCAAAGAAGCAAGATATCTGGTGTAGAGAGCACAATAGTCTTGCAAAAAGGAGGTTATGAGACTTGGCTTAAATCAGAAGGTTCACGGGAGGAGCAAAGAGTTCAAGGTTCAACAGAAACAAGATACAAAGCAAGTCTGTCCATGGGATCAGGGGCATCTCAGGTGGCACAGTGAGAAGAGCTTCAGCCAAAATGCCACAGAGGTCTCATGTTCAGATCTGGACCCTGGCATTATTTATATACCTTATGTCTGTGAACAGTCAGTGTCTACAATCAAAAAAGTTTAAGCATCCAGGCGTGTTTACTGAATTCTTGGGTACACTCAGTAGACCCCGCCTACATGAGCCAATAGTGATATGGTCAGAACCAATAAAAGCAAGTCACTTGAATTTGCCACATAAATTATTACTTTTTTTGTGTCAGAAACAAATTGTAAAATGTACATCAGTCCCAAAATGAATTATTCATAGATATTTTATGGCATAGCCCAGCCTTTCTCATCCTATTTACACCTAAGGAACCCTTGAAAAAATTTTCAGATCTGGAAACTTCTGCAAAGATTTTCTATACTACAGTTCATGGGATGTTACTGTGATCAGTAATATGAAGATATGATAAAAAAAATTTAAATAAAATAATGCAATGGAGCCTACTTATAAAAAAAAAGTAAAAAAAAAAAAAGTTACATTCACCCAGTGAAAGGCAACAAATACAAATTGATATTTCACACATATTACAAACATCATGGGGATTATTTGAGACCTTTGTGTGCATGCTAAAACATTCACACAGCAATTTTGTTTTTTTATCACTAGACCCCTAACTGTGCATTGGTGCTCATCTGAAATTCTTAAGTCAGTTTATAAAAAATCCCCTGGACAAATCTCCCAAGCATTCATCCAGCCATAAGAAATGATCCCAGTATTTTGTCTAATATGACTATTTCCTATGATCACCAGCTCCATCAAGTGACCATAATGCGGTATTTTGCTAAAACCCCTCAATCAGGAAAATACTCCAATTGTGGCCACTAGAAGGCGCTGACAGTCATAGAAAATAATTATCTTAACTACTTGCCGACCGCAGATAGCCGAATGACAGCTGCACTGCGGCCGGCCAGTTCTATGTGGACGTCATATGACTTCCTCCCAGAACGCGCTCTCCTGCGCGCCCCCGGGGGCACGCACCCAGTGATCTCCGTGTCAGTCAGTGCCACCTATCAGTGCTGTCCATCAGTACCCATTATCAGTGTCACCTATCAGTGCCACCAATCAGTGCCACCTATCCGTGACACCTCATTAGTGCTGCCTATCAGTGCCGCCTATCAGTGCCCATCAGTGCCGCCTATCAGTGCCCATCAGTGCCGCCTATCAGTGCCCATCAGTGCTGCCTCATCAACGCATATCAGTGAAGGAGAAAAATTACCTGTTTGAAAAATTTTATAATAGAAACAAAGAAACTTTTTTTTTTTCAATTTTTTTTGCACTCTTTTGCTTATAGCACAAAAAGTAAAGTGCCCAGCAGCGATTAAATACCACCAAAAGAAAGCTCTATTTGTGAGAAAAAAATGATAAAAATTTCATATGGGTACAATCTTGCATGACCGCGCAATTGTCAATCAAAATGCGACAGCGCTGAAAGCTGAAAATTGGCCTGGTAAATAAGGGGGTATAAGTGCCCGGTAGGCAAGTGGTTTAAACAAAAAAGGGGATAATTAGTTACAACTGTGCAAATGCTTGTGACATTTGACCAGCAATTTTGTTTTTTTATGAATAGGCCCCCAACAGTGGATTGGTGCTCAGTTGTATATACTTGTTTTTAGGCCTTGTTTACATAGGCGTAATACAGCATACGGTGTGTTTACTCACAGCAACAGCTGTACACGCCCTTGTAGACAATCCCATTCATGGCAATTGGGACCCAGCGGCTGCATGGACATAGCTGCTTCTTCCAATTCGACATCCATGCGGGTGCACGGCCCAAAATGCACACCGTCTGTGTTTTGGGCCATGCATATGCACAGATATCAAATTGGGAGCACTGGCTGTGTCCATGCAACTGCTGGGTCCCAATTGGCACGCATGGGACTGTCTGCAAGGGGGCAATTTTTAGATGTTCTCCAAAAGATAACAGAACTCCACTTTTTGAGTTCAGGTCCACTTTAAGGTGCATTACTCCAGTGAACGCTGATTGAACAACAGTAGATAAAAGTAAATATTAAAAAAAGCACTTTAGGTTGTTTTCATGTTCCAAGCCCGTATCAGAGCTTTCTATTTATAAATCATTTTTCAGGCTACAGGAAAGTGTTTTTTCTTTCGATAATATACTTTAAATAGAATGTGCAAATAACATATCTGCTCATTTGCATTTTTGTATAACTTTTTCTTTTTAAGTTGTTATGAAGTATGGTAAAAAATAGTACTCACATGTTTTTTTCTGCTGTAAGCCGGCCCCATCAGGATGTCTTTGTGTAAATGGGGCAGAGAATTTTGTCATTCATTAGACTCTCCCCATTCACAGATGGGGGTTTATTTACTAAAGCTGGAGAGTGCAAAATCAGGTTCACTTCTACCTAGAAACCAATCAGCTTCTAACTTCAGCTTGTTCAGTTAAGCTTTGGCAATAAAACCTAGAAGCTGATTGGTTCCTATGCAGAAGTCAGCCTGATTTTTGCACTCTCTAGCTTTAAGAAATAAACCCCATGGTGTCAAATGCAGTGTAAACAATGTATGGGCTTTACTAAATGGAGGAGGATGGAGGAAGGGTTGGGTCAATGGAGGGAGGAAACTGAGACTGTCAATCACAGGCTGTGTGCAGGAGCTCCTTCCCTTGTCTCCCTGGATCCTGTGGAGTCAGCATAACCTGTCAGAAGTGACTCATGCATATAGCAAAGGAAGAGGACAGCAGACAGAAATCACACTAGTTGTTTTGGATTGAGGCAAGTACACATTATAGAAGGATACGCTTTATTTTTCATCTCAGAGATCTACAACCACTTTAAGGATGAGGAGGTAGGTATTTATTCTATCACCATAACTTTGGAAACCCTTCCTAACCACAATGTAAAAATCCTGATTTTCTGGGTCAAATCCTGAATGTTTCCAGGTATGTCCACAATACAGCCGGTAAATTATAATAGATTTTGTACTACCCACAATTCACTCGCCAAGAAGTGGAACGGCTCTATTGGCGAGCCAGATGCAACTTACTATAGAAACATGATTTCTGTTTATTCCAGGCAGCTTGTGTTTTTTATTCTCTTTAGTAATCGAGGACAGAAAATGACTTAAGTACGCAGTCTTCTATAGCGTTTCCTTGGGTTCAGAACAAAGCCAGCGTCTCTTTTTACAGTAAAATCAATATAATGCGTGTATAACAATTTGATCTCAAGGAAAATTCTGGGAGGGATATTACTCAATTGTGTAGGAGAGCCTGGTGGTGGTTTACACAAACTATTATCTATACAACTCCCCGCTGGCTTCTAAAAGTGTCTGCGAGGATCTTAAATTTAACATATTTGTACGAGGCCCATGCATTATTTCTGGTTTTACTGCTATCTCTGCATTGGAACTCAGTATATAAAACGGTTTGTCATTGTAAATTGTAGACAAAAACTGCAGGGTCAACGAAAAGCTAAAAAAAAAAAGGAAATAATAAACACCAACAAGCAAGATAAAAAACAAAGTTTGAAGTAGATGTAAACCCTAAAACCCAACCTGAACGACATTTAGTACTTTAAAGCATTGCGTATCATAAACAAGTGCCATTTATATGAAAAAAATTCTTTTTACTTTTTTCCCTTTTGTTTCATCTCAGTACTGCTAACCTCCAGCAGCCTCTTTCCTCTTTGCAGCCACTGCCTGTCTACATGCATACCTGGTTATTTTCTGCATTTCATTTTACCACAAGGAGGGTCTACTAGCAGACTGGTGATTTTAATGTCATTCCTATCTGATTGTCTGTACTGTGGTGTAGTAATCATAGAACACCATAAAGTCAGGGCCGGATCTAGGGGGTTGCTGGGGTGGACTGGGGTGGAATCCGGCTATCAGTATGTTTTGCAACAATAAGGTTGCAAAGGTCTTGAGAGAGCTCTTTGCTTTTACCCATCATGTGATGTTTCTTGTGTGACACTTTGGTAATGGGACACCTTTTTATAGGCCATCCATTGAGACTGAACAAAGTGATATTAGTTTGCACTGAAAAGGGGAAGGATTGCTTTCTAATTACTGACAGATTTCAGCTGGTGCCTTGGTTTTCCATGCCTTTTTGCACCTCCCTTTCTTCATGTGTTCAATCCTTTTTCCCTGTGTCATTCCATTTTATTACACATAACTTAACTTCTGAAGTTATTTGTTTTGGTTTCTTTGTATGTATGGATTGCATGGGTTGTTACCGACATGGTGAAAATTGCATGTTAATAGCGCCTTTAGAAATATGTTTACTGAGGAAAATGGTGACTTGTGCAATACTTATTTTACCCGCTGTATAAAATATATATATACACTATATTTCCAAAAGTATTGGTCGGCCTGCCTTTACACGCACATGAACTTTAATGGCATCCCAGTCTTAGTCAGTAGGGTTCAGTATTGAGTTGGCCCCGCCCTTTGCAGCTATAACAGCTTCAACTCTTCTGGGAAGGACGTCCACAAGGTTTAGGAGGGTGTCTATGGGAAGGTTTGACCATTCTTCCAGAAGCGCATTTGTGAGGTCAGGCACTGATGTCGGACGAGAAGGCCTGGCTCGCAGTCTCTGCGCTAATTCATCCCAAAGGTGTTCTGTCGAGTTGAGGTCAGGACTCTGTATAGGAAAGTCAAGTTACTCCACCCCAAACTGGCTCCTCCATGTCTTTATGGACTTTGCTTTGTGCACTGGTACACAGTCATGTTGGAACAGGAAGGGGCCATCCCAAAACTGTTCCCACAAAGCTGGGAGCATAAAATTGTCCAAAATGTCTTGGTATGATGACGCTTTAAGAGTTCCCTTCACTGGAACTAGGAATGTACCATTCTCCTGGCAACTGCCAAACCCAGATACCTCCATCGGATTGCCAGACAGAGAAGTGTGATTGGTCACTCCAGAGAACACGTCTCCACTGCTCTAGAGTCCAGTGGCGGCATGCTTTACACCACTGCATCCAACGCTTTGCATTGCACTTGGTGATGTAAGGCTTGGCTGCAGCTGCTCGGCTATGGAAAGCCATTCCATGAAGCTCTCTACGCACTGTTGTTATGCTAATCTGAAGGCCACATGAAGTTTGGAGGTCTTTAGCTATTGATTCTGCAGACAGTTAGCGACTTCTGTGCTGACCCCGCTCTGTCATTTTACATGGCCTACCACTTTGTGGCTGAGTTGCTGTTGTTCCCAGCTGCTTCCACTTTGTTATAATCCCACTAACAGTTGATCGTGGAATATTTAGTAGCCAGGAAATGTCACGGATGGACTTATTGCACAGGTGGCAACCTATCACTGGAACTAAGGGGCCAAGCCCAACCCCTGAAAAACAACCCCACACCATAATCCTCCCTCCACCAAATTTTAAACTTGGCACAATGCAGTCAGGCAAGTACCGTTCTCTTGGCAACTGCCAAACCCAGACGTGTTTATCGGATTACCAGAGAACTGTGATTCATCACTCCAGAGAACACGTTTCCACTGCCATGGAGTCCGTTGGCAGCGTTCTTTACACAACTGTATCCAACACTTTCAATTGCACTTGGTGATGGAAGGCTTGGATGCAGCTGCTCGGCCATGGAAACCCATTCCATGAAGCTCTCTACACACTGTTGTTGTGTTAATCTGAAGGCCACATGAAGTTTGGAGGTCTTTAGCCATTGACTCTGCAGACAGTTGGCAACATCTACGCACTGTGCACTTCATCATTTGCTGACCCTGCTCTGTCATTTTACGTGGCCTACCACTTGGTGGCTGAGTTTCTGTTGTCCCAGTTGCTTCCACTTTGTTATAATACCACTATCAGCTGACCGTGGAATATTTAGTAGCAAGGAAATTTCAGGGATGGACTTGGTGCAGCCTATCACTATACCATGCTTGGAGGAGTCACTGAGCCCCTGAGAGCGACCCATTCTTTCAAAAATGTTTGTAGATGCAGTCTGCATGCCTAGGTGCTTGATTTTATGATTTTTACCTGTGGCCATGGAGGAAATTGGAACACCTAAATCCAATGATTTGGAGGGGTGTCCCAATACTTTTGGCAATATAGTGTGTGTATATATATGTGTGTGTGTGTGTTTGTAACACTCTCTAGCTTAGCTAGATAAGTGAGCCAGCCTTGGAGTGATGTAGAAAGATTACCTTAGGACAGGCTAGGGAGGGTCTAAGGTCAGAGCGTCTGGAGCCCGACCACTTCTCCAGCAACCTGAGAGCTTTCTGGAGGAGGGGAGGAAGCTTGGATTTGCATGCTTAATGGACCTTGGCCAATCCCCTGGCAGGAGGTTGGGCACGGGGACCAAGGTACCCTTAAGAGTCACACAGCC